AAATTACTTAACAACCTGTTCTGTGGGCATGGCCTAATTTGTGGGTGGTGGCTTGGTGGTCATGTGACTGGCTGGGCATGGTTTGTATGTAAATATTATATTTATATAAATATTGAAGTTTGAATAAAAAATGAGCAACTTTTATCCAAAATCAGGCAGATTGAGTTGTTTACAGAATCACAGATTCACTGAGAGATCTGTGTTTCTGCCATTGGCTACCTGAGTCTGCACTGCTTCAGTCCTAAGGAAGGTTTGGCTCTGCTTAAAAGTAGAGCTGAAGATCTAAAGATTAGCTAGAAAGCAAGAAATCCAACGTTTTCCTGCTTTCTAGCTAATCTAAATCTCCCGGCACAGCAGAACAGCTGATGGTAGGAAAAAGGAAAAATAGCAACTTAGCAGGCAAGTTTGCCAGGTAAGGAGGGAGTGGGAGGGAAGGGTGAGCCATGTGAGTGGCGCAGCCTTGTGTTCCTGCGCAGGAATTTTATATCCCAGGGTGCTCTGGGGGTGACATTTCTCTGCGGACCACCAGTTTTCTCACAGACCACCAGTGAGCTAACAGCCCACTGGTTGGAGACCACTGTTTTATAGTACTTTTGGTTAATTGTCCCCAACAACGTGGGTCCTCATTTTACAAATCTCAGATGGAAGGCCAAGTCAACCTTGAGCCGTCAGAATCAAATTCCGGGCTGCCGTCAATACTACATTCTAGCCACTGAGCCACCAGGGCACCTGTCATTATTCTCCACCGTTATTATTTTTCCATTTAACTCTTCTACCAGGTCAGATAGGGTAGGCATACTCAAATCTCTTCCCTTAAATATTGCTATTGGATAGGAGCTAGGAAGTTAGTATTTTCTGTTGCAGACCCTGCCTTATGAAACACTCTCCCCTCCCCCCCCCCAAAGTTTGGCAGGCTCTTAGCCTCCTAGTCTACTGAAACAAAGGAAGATCTAGGAAAGTATTACACTTAGGCAAGAAAAACCAAAAGTACACATGTAGACTGGGTGAAACCAGGTGTTCTGACCCAGCTCTCCAAACATGACAAACCCTCTGAAGTTAATTCAAAGATTCCTTTATTAGGAGTGCTGGTCACTACAGTATAGAAGGTTTTGGTCACTACACTATAAAAAAGATGTTGAGACTCTAGAAAGTGTAGAGGAGAGCAACCAGGATGATTAGAGGACTGGAGGCTAAAACATATGAAGAATGCTTACAGGAAATGGGCTTGACTAGTCTAGTGAGAAGGACCAGGGGAGACATGATAGCAGTCTTCCAATATCTGAGGGGCTGTCACAGAGAGGAAGCGGTCAAGCTATTTTCCAAAAGGCACCTGAAGGCCAGACAAGGAATAATGGATGGAAACTGAAAAGGAGAGATTTAACCTAGAAATAAGGAGAAATTTTCTGACAGTGAGAACAATCAACGGATGGAACAATTTGCCTTCTGAAGTTGTGGGAGTTTCATCACTGGAGGCTTTCAAAAAGAGACTGGACTGCCATCTGTCAGAAATGGTGTAGGGTCTCCTGCTTGGGTGGGGGGAGGTTGGACTAGATAACTTTTCAATTCTGTTAATCCGTTATTGCCTGTTAGTAGTTCCCCTATAGGGTCTGCTGCATAAATCCATCCCATCTTCCCCCCACCATGCCCCTTGGAAAACTACAATGGTGATCCAGCCCTCAAAGAAATAGTTTGATACCCTATAGGGTCTGCTGTTTGAGTAGGGCGTTGGACTAGATGACATAGAAAGTCCCTTCCATCTCATCTCATCATCTCATCTCTCGAATTCCTCATCTTTGATGCTAAGACAAGTTTCACTAGAAAGAATCATACAAGTAATTAAATCTTTAATTGTTCAGCTGGGTTTCCAATGCGAGACAACAAATGAAATGAAAGATTCCGCTACAGACATTAAATGTTGCCTCCTGTGAAATTTCATGTGTGATAAGGCAGGAAATTTGTGTGAAACACTGTCTGCAATCCAACTATTTGAATGGTTATTCCCCTATGTGTAACCTTACATGATTTATAAGGCTAGTCCTATAACGGAAATCTTTCCCACAATCTGGACATTCATATGGTTTCACTCCTGTGTGAGTCCTCAAGTGTATCACCAAACTGGAATTCCAACTAAAACTTTTGCCACATTCAAGACATTCATATGCTTTCTCTCCCGTGTGAGTCCTCTGGTGTTTCACCAAGTAGGAATTGTAACAGAAACTTTTCCCACAATCTCGACACTGATATGGTTTGTCTCCTGTGTGTGTTTTCTGGTGTATCACCAGAGAGAAATTCTGACTGAAACTTTTCCCACAATCTCGACACTGATATGGTTTTTCTCCTGTGTGAGTTTTCTGGTGTATCACAAGGTGAGAATTCTGATTGAAACGTTTCCCACAATAAAGACACTCATATGGCTTCTCTCCCGTGTGAGTTCTCTGGTGTCTCAACAGCTTGGAATTCCAAGTGAAACTTTTCTCACAATCAGGACACTCATACATTTTCTTTCCAGTGTGAGTCCTCTGGTGTTCGACCAGGTAGGAATTCTTACTAAAACTTTTTCCACAATCTGAACACTCATAAGGTTTCTCTCCAGTGTGAGTCCTCTGGTGTATCACCATGTTAAAATTCTGATTAAAACCTTTCCCACAATCTGGACACTTATATGGTTTCTCTCCTGTGTGAATCCTGTAATGTCGCAAAAGGAAGGCATTTTGAATGAAACTTTTCCCACACTGCAGACACTCATAGGGTTTTTCACCTGTGTGAGTCCTCTGGTGTTTCACCAGGTAAGAATTCTGACTGAAACTTTTCCCACAATACAGACACTCATATGGTTTCTCTCCTGTGTGAATCCTCTGGTGCTTTACCAGGTCAGATTGCCAAGAGAAATCTTTCCCACACTCTGGACACTCATAGGGTTTCTCTC